CCCCAAAACCCCAAAACCCCAAAACCCCAAAACCCCTTCAGAGTATTTCTAAATTGAAAATACATTTACAAATTGTTCAAGAACTCAACCTTGTAAAGTATGGAGTCAATAAGCATTTCATTGACTTCTTCAGAATCTTTAATTACTTGACTTCCTGTGGTACTAGGATTCTTTAGCTCTCTCATTCTGACTCTTCTCTCGAGTTCCATGGATTTCTCAATCAAGGAGGCATTCTCTTTGATTTCCATTGGAGAGGATGATTCTCCAGGCATGAAATTACTCTTCCATAATTTTGACTTGTACTTGGGGACCTTAAAGGTATACTCTGGAGTGGAAGACCGAAGATCAACTCTAGTACGGTTAACTTTGTCTGTAGTCCCATAAGTCCGAAGATAAGCAGGCTGCAAAGTATTCTTGTTCCTTGATAATGGAGCCTTATTTGATAAATCTTGATTAAGCTTTCTATTTTCCTGAGTACTAGGAACCAATTTTAGATCAGCATGTAGATCTTGGATTGACTTGGTCTCCGAATTCGGGTTTTCATAAAAGTTACTTGTGTTCTCTACATTATTACATAAAACAGATACCCGATTGCATTTGAGGAGAAGCCTTATTTTAGCCTAGGTTTTGTGAAATAGCTTCTAAAAAAGTTAAAATAGGCTTTACTTATTCTTGATCAGTTTCTTAATTTTATCTCTAGCTGGCTTCATCTGTTCTTTAATTATAATATTTCCATTTCCTTCTTTTTTTGCTCACTGATCTCTACTGGGATGAGTCTTCTGACACTGTCTGCATAGACCCTCCTCTTCTTGATTCTGTTATTGCTCTCTTCCTTCTGTAGCTTAGTTAGAGTCGCTAATTTTTTGTCCATTGCTAATGTCCGTGATCTCAATTTAGTCGTAAATAGTTTAGGATCAGTAATAGATCTAGATTTCGGATTCTCTGAAAGTCTTTTCATCCTAAGCTTTGCTATAAGCTTGCTCTTCTGATCATTATATGCAGATATTTGCTTCTTAACTTCAAATAGAGGTGTTATTTTATCCTTCTGATGATCTTTCAGGATCGATAATTTCTCTGTGAGTTCTTTCTCATCTCTTTCATCAGCTAAAAATCACTAAAGAGTTGAACCTGTTTGTTGAAACTTCACAAAAAGTGGACTTGAGTCTTTGATTCTACGGAACTCCTTATTTCTTTGAATAATTTCCTTCTTTCTTTCGTCGGATTTCTGCCTAAATTTGTTTTTGATCTCAAGTTTCTTGTCTGTATCAACCTGTTGCATTTCTTCCTTGAGAGGATTCCTTTGTTTCTATGTGTGAATGTTAAGACACTTACTCTTAATTTCTGCTTGCCATCGCTGCTAATTTCTTGAGGAACTACAGAGATACTTTGGGGTCTTGACTCTTTCCTTAATTTTCGAGTCTTAGCAGGTTTGCCTACAGTTTTACCAAGGATTAAGCTTTTGGTCTGCTCTGGAATCCCCATTTTCTCAACTTTCTGTACAGTTCCCATATGCACAGCTTGGCCGAGACGCTCGGCCAAGCTGTGCTTGATGGAACGATCTTTGTACAGCTGGTTGAGCAAGATCTGGTCTACAGAGAGATTCTCGGCTTTCTTAGGGTTAATGCCTTCTATTTCATTCCTGAGGCTAGCCAATAGGCCAGATTTGGGTTCTAGAGGAATTTAGAAAGGAAGGCAGTACCTTGAAAATGAATTCCTTTGTGGAGAATTTGAGATGTGATTTTTGGAGGAAGTGGAAGAAGAGCAGGATTGAAGGGAGAGGAAGAATCTTGGGTTGAATTAGCTTGAGTGAGACTGAGAGTACGATTTTTTCGGAGTTTGAAATCAAGATGAAGGGTTTTGGGAGGGTATTTTTGCTTGAGGTAGTTAATTACATTTGGATTGCAATTTGAGTTATTTTAAATTGAGGAGGACTGATGGTGATTTTGCCATCTCTTGTCATTCTTTTCAATTGGAATGAGCATGATCAGGACTGAAATGTCGCGATATAAATGTATCTCAATCAATTATCTCCCTTCTCTTTTCTTTTTGTGCATTCTGCTGGTAAGGTTTAAATTCTTCATCTTTCAGATTTTTCCCTTTATTTTTCTTATTTTTACTCCTCTTATCACTAGTACTTTTTGGCATCCTCTATAAAACCCATATAACCTCTTTCTCATCCCCCTACAACTACCAAAATTTTGCAACAAATATCACACGTTACTCAAGAACAACCTTTCTTCTTAAATTATATAATTTCAATAAGAACAATACTTTAAGGGGTTTTGGGGTTTTGGGGTTTTGGGGTTTTGGGG